AAAAATTTAAATATTAAAAAAATTAGTAAAAATCTTCGCAGGCAAATTTGCCTGTGTTACAATTTAAGGGATAATCAATCAAAGCTAGTGATAATACATACATAAAGTTATATATAAATGTGCTATTCTGACGCCAATTAATTCAACTAATCATTATTTGTATTATAAATATGCTATTCTGACCCAATTAATTCAACTGATTATTATTTGTATTTTGAATAAGGCTGTGAGCTTTTTTACCACTTGTTCGTTTTTTACGTGCTGGTATAACATGATGATCGATATTTTTTTTATCACAAACAGCTTTCTTCCTGCGCTTTACTGATTTAACTTGTATTCAAATTTTTGCACCACTTTTCACATGTGTAAGTGGATCAACACTCTGATCTATGTTATATAGAAATGATGTTAATACCGGAATAGATTTTGCTTTCGCTGCATTATAACGTTCAGCTAGTTTCTCAATAGCAGTTTGAAACTGTGGGCCACAGTTTTCATAATCATATTTGACTATTTTAAGAAATGATTCAATAAAGGCTGTATTACGCCTATAAATAAATTATTTAGTATTGTATAAATTTTAAAATTTGATAAGAAATATACAAAATATGGTTTACATACTCTATTGTATTAATTTGATCCACATCAGATTCTAGATTTTCAATTTCCATTGCAATAATTTGGTTCATATTTGATTCTTCAGATTCTTGAACTTCATTAATCACTTGATTATTTAAAATTTTATCTATATTATGTTCTTGCTGAATTAGTTGGATATCATTTGTATGAGCACGAAGTGATGCATAAAAAGAGTTAAAATAAAATTTAAAATTTAACATTAGTTTAAATTATTTATTAAAATAAATTAATTACATACCACGTGCAATATATGCAAAATTAGCACGATCATTAGGAGTTAATAATTGAAGAAAATTTAGTGAACTAATATGATATTTTGCTGCTACTGCACCCTGGTGCTTACACGGCGCTCCAGATAATCCAACAAAGCAAGTACATGTCCATATTTCAACATTAACTATATAAGATAAATCAGTATTCTTTTTCTCACTAGGAACTAGATATTCATTTTTAATATCAGATTGTTGAATCTCTGCTGTATTAATTGCATCCCAGCCACAGTACAAAAATCACTTAGCAATTTCTAAATGACCGAAATGACTATGTGCTATTTCAAGTAATCGACGTTCATAGAACTGTTCTATACTTGTAATAATAAATTGAAAGACTTGAACAATATTATAAGCTTGGGTACGTACAAATATAATATCTTTCCAAAACTGCGTTCTATGTAGTTATTAGTGTTATTGCTACGTAAAAGAAGTCCTGAACAAAAAGATACCGCCTATAATTGACACCGTTTCCAGAGTAATTCAAAATGCCTTTGTAATTGAAGGTACGTATGATAGTAATTAGCTTTAAGTTCATGGTAATATTCTAACATTTCAACTTCTGTTCGGGCATACAATATTTTTTTCATATTTTTCATTATAAACTTTCTATGAACTTTATTTATATTATGCTTTGAATTATGCAACCAACACTTGAAGTACATGAAAGATACATAATAACTGTTTTGATTGTGGCCAACAATTTGCTAATGCATTTCGTTCAGCATATGAGTCATCCGTAAGAAAAACAATTGGCCCAATACTAGGTCTATAGCCAGAGAAAGCATGCTTTGGAAAAAGTTCTTTTAAGAGCCTCATTTCTCTTTCAAGAGTTACTTCTGATTCATCAGATATTATGATAAGACCAAGAGGCAATGTGCCTATAATACAACTTGTGTAAAACAAAGTCACTGAAGTATTTAGCGGTTCAAAGGATGCTGATGCATCCACATAGCAAATTTCACCAGCTTGGCATATCTTTTCATGTACACGGAGCATCAAGTTTGTAGCTACACAAAGAATAAAAGCATTCTGTGATTGTGAATTATATTCTTGAAGTAGAGTATGACCTCTCTTTGAGTTATTGTAATTATCAACTTCTTCTTTAAGTCGTTGAAACATTGATGCTCCATTTCGTCTCCCAAGATGTTCATTACAATATTTTTTAAACAAATTTAAAACATAACCGTAGTCTAGATTTTGTGCACGATCTGCTAAAAGTTGCATTAGCTCTTGATTGTTATCCACATATAAATATAAAGAATCTTCGTAAGTATATAAAGCTATTGCTGGTAAATGTCTACTTGCAAAAAGTTCAAGATATTTATTATGAACTTTTTCATTAACATGTCTAAAACTAAGCGACTTGGCAGAGTTAATTACATAATTATGAATGAATTTAATGTTAACTTCTAGTGGATGAGTTGTTTGAAGACGCCAACGCTCAAGCCAAAGGTGTATCGTAGCTATGCACTTTGTATTTCTAGCACATAATGAATGTGGATTTTTTAAATCAGAGTTCCTTTGTTTTTTTTTACCTTTTTACTATGTATATAATGTTGCAATTCTCGAAATATAACCTTGGACCCTTTAATTTGAAATCTTTTGGTCTCCGGCATTGTTGTTTTTGATAATTCTTCAAACTCAAAAAACCACTGCCATGCTCTATCAATATTATTAGCATTTATGAAAAGATTTAATTCAAATTGATGGATTATAAATTCTTCTGCTGTGACAAAATCAGGAAGTT